TAATTGTAATTAATAAATGTTTTTGTAACACTATTTTCTTGGAAATGCTAATTGAAGTTAATAAAAAGAAAACAGATTCACCATCTATTATCACAATTTGAAATGAGAATATACAACAAATAACAAGAAATATTTAGTTTTCGAGATAATAGATGGCAATGAATGCTATCTGATTTCTTTAAAGTTAGTTTTTTGGTAAAGAGATGGCGGAAATGCTGATCTGATTTCGTAAATAGTTTTCTGTATAATGGATGGTACTGAAAAACAAAACTAAAATATTTTTCTTGCAGTTGTTTGGAAGCAAAATAATGGGCACTACGCCAATTATTTGCAACGACATTTTACGTTTATTTAAAATACTTTAATACTATTATTCAGACCTAATTTTAACTCCATGGAATTATTTTGCCCTTATTTCAAATAGACTTAATTATTTAAAATGCTTTTAAGAAATATAGTTGTACAAAACTAATTCTAGCTTGTAACTATCTTTCCCATGATATATTAACAAAGTTATAAATATATATTTTATTTCGCTGATGATGAAACAACTGTTACGTCTTTGTATGTGTTTTTTAATTCTTCTACGATACAAGTCCTTTCTTAAATAAAACTTGTTTATTTTTCCTCAATAAAACTTTATAATACACTTAATTTCCACAGTTACACACACTATAGTTCACAACAATCCACTCTCTGTCTTTGCATCGTCGGTCTCTCTCTCATTGTCTAGCGCACTTATATACGATAATACCGCCTGTTCTAGAATATTCTAGGCTCTCAACACGTGCTACCAGCGTCACTTGACTTCCGCTGTCGTAACACACTAGCGTTTAACGCGAATCTGCTAGAATACTCGCCACGTGAGCCCCGCTGTCGTAATACAACTGATTTTCAGAATTAGTTTTATGTTGTATCTTATACTAACTTAGTTTTCAAGGCAATATACTTCACTTGAGATCAAATTTAAAACTGGATTACGTTCCAAGGAATAAGTAAATTTTACTGTGACGATAATTCTCCCGATTTTGCATTTTATTTTGCACGGTTTTGTAACTTTCTTGAATTGTATTAAAAACTTATTTCTTTGTGAAATTCCATGTCGAGCAATTCATTTATTTGTTGTGAAGCATGAAGCTTGGGCTATGCTTTACACATCGCAGGTATCTAGCACCGATTTTTAGAATTATAAATGTTCACTTATATAGGACAAACTTTTCGCTACCAATTATAGAATTTCAGTTCATAATATTTTTCCTGAAGTATAATTGAAATTTAACGAGTAATAAAACTAATATTTTGCTTGTATTTGGTACAGATTATTTTTATATATATTCAAAAACACCTTAGGTGTAAAAAAAAAAGTATAGCCCAAAAAAAGAATTGAGTATGCGACTAAAGGTAATGAAATCAAAATTGGCAGCCAAAGTGGTAGCTACACTCATAGCACTAATAAGAATTTTACAGCAAATATTCATTCATTGGTGAGCCAGGCTGTGTTTTTGGTTCATCTTGGTGCATGCTGATGGGTGAAATAAAATACCAGTAGCTATCAGTTTGTCCATCAATTTTGATTTCATTCATTTTAGTCGCACCTTTTTGCACACCTAAGGGTTTTTTTTTATTAGATGTCATGATTTTTTGTCAATACACATCAACAAACCACGGCAAGTAGAAAGTGACACTCGATAGTAGCCAACGTTAGCTTTAGGATCGCAAACCTATAATTGGGAATAGACCTTTACTTTACAGAACCAACCAGATTCTTTAAAATATACAATGGTAGTTTTTACTCTCTAAAACAGTGTCAATAAGTTCCTTTATAATAACGCCATGGAATACAGATTAACAGTTTTTTGTCATCACCCGCATGCACTCGGTACAGCTGTATCAAGCATCATTATTTACGATAATTACTTAAGCAAATATTACGTGACACTAGACGCTCTTTAATTAAGATAATTTCATAAAATTTATCAACTTTTTGCTAAAAATTTGGCAATGAAAAATTAATAATAACCGTCCACCCCTATGATTCTTTTGAAAATTTGAGCTAGAAACTGTTAATGTACTTTGCTTGGCCTAACCAATGTGTATGTATCTTCACGTGCTTCCACCTCACAGTTTTACTGCTTTAAATCAGCCGTCTATAATCCGAATGACAAAAAGATAAAAATGGACCGCTTTCACTCTTAGCTGAAGCTGTAGCAACAATTTTAAGACCGATAGCTCCTGTGACTCTTCGCACAAAATTATGGTTAAAATTGAGGGGGTTTTTGTTCAATAACTTCGCACACGTGGTTTATATTGAGACCTAATTGTAGGTTGAAAAGATCTACCAGTGAGCAAATTTGAAAACAAAACAAAACATAATAGTTAAGTATGTTTTATTATCAAATAAAGTTTCCGTACTTTCGGTGCGAAGAAAAAATAGGAAGAAATTCAATCAAATTGGAGATTTTATATCTCGTGTATTTCTTAATGGTTTGCCTCGAAATTTGATTTGTGACATAAGGGTCCAGTAGAGAAAATATGTGACAGTTTCGATTACAACAGTCCGAGCTAGAGAAATTGGAAAATCGCTAAACTATCACTCCTGTTAATAACACCCAGTGTGTCCTGATATTTGGTAATAATTTGGTAAAAATGTTCTAGGCAAACAAGATATTTTAATTTTCAATAACAAACAGAACAAGCCTGTAGACCTTTCTCCAGAGCTACAGCTGCACTGTGCATTTTCTTATACAAAACATCTTGTCACTATTAACTGTTCAATCTGTTACCTAATCCCGAACCTCCACGTCACTGAGGCCAATTTTATCTATAGAATCAAACTAAGCTCATGGTTAAACGCTGCATCAGCAATATTAAAAGAGGTGATCCTCGGTAAGTCACTTACATGATTCTTTTCAACCATTATAATACAGTGATATATGTAAAACATACTCAAAATAAAACAGACAGACATGGATCATAAAATATTTAGACAAAAATCCAGTAAAGCAAGAAGGGTATTTAGAAGCCAGTAAGGTCTGTAAAATTCTGATACAATTCAGTCCAGATGGTATTGTACCTTTCCTTTTCATGGATCAACTCATCTGCAAAAATAAAAATGGAAGCTTCATACAGTCCAGCCCACAAATAATGCAAATGAAATTGTGTCAAATTAGATAGCATTCAAAGAAAAAACAGTTTATGTAAATATCTCCTATTACTCAAACAATGAAATTAAAAATTCAGAAGTTGTATTAATTTACAATTATAGTTCTTTTTTTTTTGCATATACTGTTTACCTTTTTATGAACACTTAAAATTCACACATACAACTTCAGATCACAAAATATAATGTCAACACTATCTTAATTCTGATGACTCAGTAATACCATTAAACACCTAAAGTAGAAATCTTTACCAGAAAAAAAAAAACACCTAGAAAGAAAGAAATATTACTTGAAAAAACCAAAAAGGAAAGGTATGTTTCTTGGGAATCAGTACAAGGAAAGCTCTTTCATGGAAAGCCAAAAATGAAAGGAACATTTTCTGGAAAAGCATAAAAAGTATATTTCTTGAAAAAGCCTACAAAATATGGCTATGTTTTCTGGAAATAACCCAAAGGAGAAGTACATTTCTGGAGAAAAACAAAATATGGCTATGTTTCGTAGAAAAATCCAAAAGGAGAGATATGTTTCCTTTTTGAAGAGATGCACATTTCCTAGAAAAAAATCAAAGATCACTGCATTCTTTGTTGAATGCCAAACAGTATCATGATACTGTTCTTCTACAAACCTAATAATTAAAACTTTGTCACCCTTCTTCTTCATCCAGTGTCAAACAGTATCATGTTACCATTCTTTTAGTTTTACAAACCTATTGGTTTCAGAAGGTGAGCCCCCTCTCTTCCTTACATACAAAATGTTACCTTACCTTACTTTCTAGCCATAATTTGTTCTGGACTTTTATAAGATTAGGTTTGGCTAAGCTAGGTTTAGTTATGCTACCTTGGGTTATTTCAGGTTTATGGTTAGGGTGTTTTCCTGCTGATTTTCAATAGTGGAGAGTCCAGTAAGCATTCCAACACAGAGTCGTCCAAAAGATTCAATATGTAAAGAAGAAAATGTAAAAACTATAAAAATACTAAATAATTACTCACCAAGAATAAAATGTCTTCAAATGTCAGCAATAATCTA